CAGGTCCCGGGAGGAGCATCCCTGACCGCAGCATCCCCCGTCAGAGCATCCCAACCAGAGCAATTCCTGACCGAAGCGTCCTCAGCAGAGCATCCTAAATGGAGCAATCCCTGACCGGAGCATCATCCCCTGTCGGAGCATCCCAACACCGGAGCATCCCAACCGGAGCAATCCCCGGCCGCAGCATCCCCGCCTCCCCCGCGGCAGCAGGAGGTAAGCAGCACCTTTCGCCGGTCCCTGGGCATCCTCTGCAGGCTTAGGGCAAGGGACACACACCCCCGGGGGGGCCGGGGTCGCAGGGAGGGCAGTGGAGGGTCAGGATGCTCCAGGTGTGGCTGGGGAGTGGGGCCGAGCCCGGCGGGGAGGCAGCACGTGTGGATCTCCAGGTACCTGCCGCAGCGGGTGGGTGCCGGGGCACGTTTCGCTTCGGGCAGTGGAAGGGAGCTGCTGCCCCTGGTTCCCTTCTTGGTTCCTCAGTGCTCTCCTCTGCTATGGGCAGGTGGGAGTTTGGGAGGAATAACTACCTGTTTGGTAGATGAGATGGTGGTAAAGTCTCTGTTCCCCCCTCCCCACTGCCTCTATCCATCTACTCCCGAGGGTCCCGCAGGCTCCCTGCACTCCAAGGGCCTGATTTCTGGGCTGCTGGGAGCTCCTGTTGAAGCTGGCACCTGTGAAAGTCTGACCTTTAAATTCTATCTGGGTTCGTGCGCGTGATCCCAGTGATAACAGTTTCCCCAGGCTGTTGATGAACTGGGCGCTGCTGCCCGTCGCTCGGGTTGCTCAGTTTATCCCGCTGCAGGTTCCTGTTTTCAAGTTTCCAGTTGCTTATAACTCTGTCAACTTTAGTTGTTAGAGCTGAAAACGTTCCGTCCTGGATGTCTGCCTCAGCTTGGCTTTCGTTGCTGTATTTATTTTATTCCAGCCAAGGAGGAGGCAAGGATTGACCCTTGTCCCTCAGATGGCCGTAGTTCTGGTGACCTTTCCTTGGAGCAGCACTGCCCACCCAGCCTCCCCCTCCGCTCCAAGCAAAGGATTTACATTTGGGAAGGGACTACAGATTCTGTAAATCTGTAATCTTGTAAATCTGTTGCCCCAATGTAAACCGATTTACCGACGGTATAAACTATAAGCTTAATTTCCTTCTTTTCTATGTCAGATCAAGTATTAATTGTAGGTCTGGAACACGCTGCTGCTGCTGGTGCTACAGCAGGAAGAAGAGGTTAAGGTCAGGAACCTGCAAAGGATGAGAAATAAATGCAGGTTTAGAGGAGACTGGTGGAACTGTGTCAGCTTGGAGGGTGGGACAAGGCGGTAGGGCTGAGGCTAGGCTAAGACTAGACCGTGCTGCTGAGGACGGAGACCAGTGGGGACAGGGTCCCCTCGTCGGTGGCTGCTGCTGGAGCTGAGTGCCCCGGGCTTTACCCTCGCCTTTGGCAGGTGAAATTCAGTTTGTTCCTCTAGTAACAGCTGTGATCTCTGCCTGCCCGCCCCTTGAGGACAGAGCCCTCAACATGTCAAACAGCTCCGGCCATGCTCGGGATGTGCCTTTCCTACAGCCCAGCTGTAGGCTAGTGAAGAGCAAGTAACACCCTTCTGCTTTCTCTGCAAGGGACGAGTGGAGCAAGTGAAAAATAGGCACTGCAGCTGGGGAGAAGGTCCCATTCACCCCTGAGCCAGGGGCGTGTTTGGAGGGGCAGTCTGCCTTCGGCCCCTATTCATGCCGCTGGCTTGACATGGTCCCATTTTGCTGATTTTTACACCAAGGGCGTGTGCTGACCCCAGGGATGCACCGGAGTCAGGCTGTGGCATCAGATACACGCTTCAGGCAGTGGTGGAGCGAAGGGGGCTCTGACATCCCTGTCCCAGGCTGGTGTGTTGTGCCCAGGAGCAGGGAGGGAGCTCTGGGAGCGCGGCTGGAGGAGGAGGTGGCTGTGTGCGGAGCCCAGCCTGGCAGCAGGGGAGCTGGTGGGGACGGCGCGGGCAGGAGCAGCAGCCAAGGAGATGCTCTTCAGAAGCACCGAGTGCTCGGAGCAGCCGCAGAGCTGAGAGCGAGCTGAGCTTTGAATGTGTAAAGTGCCTGTTGACGTCACTTGAGTATTTTCTGGTCACTAGAACAGCAGTTCTGTCCCAGCCCAAGAATTGAGACTAAAAAGCCAAGCCCTGAATGGCACAATAAGTATTCTGGCATTGCGTGCCTCGGAAGAGCTGGTGGGATGATGCCGTTTGTCCTCAGAGCAGGGTTTTCCCAGCACGGAGAGCGCCAGGCCTGAGCAATGCGGAGAGAGGCACCGAGCGAGTGAGCACCATTCCTCTGCTTCAGGGAATGGGCCAAGGGATGGCGGAGGCATCTTGACGTTGCCCGAGTGTCTTGTAATGATGCGAGTTGGGGGATTTTGGTGTTCAGCGCCCAAGTTTGTCACTGCCATCTTGTTGTTTCTCCATCGAAACATTGCTCCCAGAGCGCTCGAGCCCCTAAAGATACAAATTCATCCCTGGTAGAACTGTGTGAGCTCTGACACAACTAAACGTTGGGTGAATTTGCCCCGCGGGCTCTTGTTCAGCTTATCAGGTCTTGCAAATTGGCACCAGTTCATGGCACTGGGAGCCGAGCACTCTGCGCCGCACTGGGACCGGGGAGCAGTGGTGGATCTCGGTCCAGCTCCAGCTCTGTCGGGGAACAGCCTTCTTCCACTTCTCCCCCAGGGATCAGCCCTCCCTCGCTGCTGTTCTTACCCCGATTGTGTTTCTAACAGCGATATTATCCGAGCCTTTTCAAATTGCGCTGGGACGTGGGGCTGGAGGATGGGGCGGCGGCGGGTTCGTGGGGGAGCCGTGAGTGGTGTTAGTCTTTGTTCGAGCTGTGTCAGAAGCGCCCAGGTGCCAGCGCCCTCGGCGCAGATGCCCTTTCTTATCTTCTGCTTTCCATTTTGCAAACAAGCCACATACTAGACTGCCTTTATGATTAACACGCTGCTACAAAGCAAATACTGCTCAGCGCTTGTGCTAATAGACGCATAAAACAAGAGGCTTTATTTCCGCTTCTTGCACAAAGGTGTAGAGTTTGTGTGTTATAATCTGCCTGGCTTACTAAGAAAAGCCTTCAAAGCAGAAATGTTGATTCGAAACCCTGGCTGCTAGCGTGCCAGCATGGCCAGTGTGCTCAGAGTAAGGTCCGGCTGGCCGGCGGGCTGCGAGGTGGCTGGGCTGGAGCGAGGGCGCTCCCCGGGACACCTCCCTGCGGCCAGCAGGCTCCCTGGGCATTTCTCCTGGTCTCTCCGTGAAGGGAAGAGCAGGGACTCGGAGCTGTCCCCATGGCTCACCCGCTCTGTGCCTCTGCAGCGATGCATCTCCATGGGTGGCTGAGGAGGAGCTGGCTCTGAGCTGTCGCTGCCCTGATCCTGACCCAGCCAGGTCTTGGCGCTCTATAAAAGCTTCAGCAAAGACCTTTACACTAGTCGCTAAATCTGTTGTTGTCCGCAGTGTGTCCCCTCCTGGTGCTGCTCTCTGCCTCCTCGCCTCGACTGCTTTGACCCAGCGCTGAGGGATCTGGGGGAGTTGGGAAGGGTCAGGGTGAGGGTCATGGTTGGGCTGGAGGAGCTACAAGGGCTTTTCCAACCTGGATGATTCTGGGATTCAGTGCTCAAGTCCAGTGTGTTGCACTCCACTGGCTGAGTCTTTACTGACTATAATCACAGCCTAAAGTAGCCAGTTCAGACCAAGACATCCATGGTGAGTCAGGCACAGCCCAAACTACGTGAGCGAAGGCAGCGTGTGGCCATGGCTCCGCTCTCGGGTGCGTGGGGCACGTTTAGCTGCTTTCTCGGACCTGGCTGTGAGAGGGAAGGTTTCCTGCGGAAGGACACGGGTGGGGGGATCAGGGTGGGATAACACTCTCTGCTCAGGCTTTGGGCTGTTCCTCGGCAGCTTCTGCAAGAACTGCAGCTCAGCTGGGGAGTTCCCGGCTGGTGCCATCCCCGGGACAGGGGATCAGAGCCCCCGCTTGCCCCCAGTGCTCCCACTGCGGGATAATTCCTTGCATGAATTATCTTCTGGGCTGGGACTTTGTAGGGAAGCCCATGTGAGGTGGGGCTGGAAGGAGAGGACACCCAAGGGACATCCTTGCGTGGCGACGAGCTGCGTCTTCCTCTGGGGACTGCAGAGGGCAGTGGCACCCACGAGAAGCGGAGGTTGCCTGGGGTGCTGGCTGGAGGAGCCACCCCAGAGCAGGCTGGGTGCGATCGCTTGTACCCCTTGCCGGGCTCTGTCTTTCTGCATGAATTGTCTTGCTCTGCAGAGCGTCTCTACAGGTTATTCAGTGTGCTGGTGGCTCGCTGGAGGGTGGCAGGGTGTCCCAGCCCCATCCCTCCTGGCCACAGCGGTGGGGAACATCTGCTCAAGGCAAGACACAAGTGACCACCACTGTCACGCTTCCTTACGTGGCCCCGAAGGCCAACGTTCAGCTGCCCACAGCAAGGGTCAGGGTCAGGATCAGCCCTGCTCCAGGGGCGATGGGAACCAAGCGCAGTGCACGCTTCCCTCCTCCTCTTTCCATCCTGCTCTGCTATTCCCGGAGCCAGCTCTGATGAGAAGGAGTCTCCGTGTGCCCGAAGCGAGGTGCACAGTGGCAGGGCACCCATCGAGCTCACCTTGCCCCACCCCAACAACCCCCCCAGAGATGAGGGGTGTGTCAGGCTCTCTTTGCAGCTGCTGATTGCTCGTGCAGGAGGAACAAGGGGAGCAGCAGCTCCCCTCTGCCTGGGCAGGGTGTGAGGGTGAGGAGCCTGTGGAGATTTCTAGGGTGAGGTGCAGAGGCAGAGAGACTTGGAAGATGCTCAAAGTGCAACCAGGGAGGCCCCGTGGTCACGCAGTCTGTGTGGTCTCAGACCTTGGAGACACCCACCATCATCTGCCACTTCAGGGTAACCTCCACATCTGCATCTGGAGGAGGGGTTTGAAGGATGGGCTCATCCGGGGGGGACTTGGGCACTCTGAAGAGCTTCCAGATCCTGAGGAACCCTGGGAGAAGAGCAGCAGCTTTCAGAGATCTTGGAGGAGCATCTCAGGTTGAGGGTAGAGAACTGTTGGTCCCATCAGAGCTGTCAGGTGCAGCAGTCAGGAAGAAATGAATGCACTGAGCTCACTTACACCAGTCTGGGATCAAAATCTTGTGCCAGAGCTTTGCCTTGAGCACTTGGAAGAGCGTGTGGTTTACT